CCTGGCAGCTTAGACCCAAAAGTAATTACACAGAAACTGTATTAATTAAACCACTGCTTGGCCCATTAGCTCTAGCTTCTTGTTGGCTGACTCTTACATATTAATTTAACACATTTCTATTAATCTATGTATTGCCACAGGGCTGCAGGTTAATGGCTAAAAATCCGTCTGGCTCCAGCAGGGCTCCATGGTTTCTCTCTGACTCTGCCTCCTTTCTCCCAGCATTCAGCTTAGTTTTCCTGCCTAGCTCTGTTCCCATATAGCTCTGCTATAGGCCCAAGGCAATTCCTTTACTTACCAATGGTAATCACAGCAGACAGAGGGAAACCCCCATCACCTGTTTCAATTTCTCTTTAAATAAAAAGGAAGGTTTTAACTTTAACATAGTAAATTACATATAACAAAACAGGTATCAAGCAACAATTACAGTTATAATATTTGTATCTACTTTACCTTTTATCATAACTAAGAAAAACTGTAACTACAAAACTATTACTCCATCAAAGATTCTAGAAGGATACAATATTACCTAAGTAAACAGGAAGTACATTGTAAGCAACTTCCAAAGCTCTAGAATTGACTGAGACATCTCACTGCCTGGACATTTACCCAAAGTTCTTCTGTAATGTTGGGGCATCCATCTTCAGCCTACAGGCCCATAGCATCTGGCAGACTTTTCTATGAAGCAGGAAATTTCAGTTACTTTCTTCTGTGTCCTTCAGAATGTCTAGCAGACTCTTTCATGAAAGCAAGAACCCCAAAGGATTGTCTCACCATTAGGCAAGTTCAGCAGTCATTTCTCTGCTGCTCCTACATGTCCAGTTCATCAAGAAGTCCAGACAAGAGGAGTTTCTTGCCCAAATGGCTAACCAACACCATAAGGAGCTTCTTCGATGCCCATCTTTCTCTTGAAGTAATTGGTGCTGCCAGGAGCAGATGTGTCTCACTGTCATAAAAAGTCCTAATTTCTTTTTCTTTTTTTGGTTTTTTTGAGACAGGCTTTGGAGCCTGTCCTGAAACTCCCTTTGTAAACCAGGCTGGCCCCGAACTCACGGAGATCCACCTGCCTCTGCCTCCTGAGTGCTGGGATTAAAGACATGCGCCACCACTGCCCGGCTTCCTAATTTCTAAAAACATTTAAATGCCATATTCTGGAGGTCTCTAGAAGATTTGAAGGATACCTAACTGAAATATATCTCTCTACATATAGAAAACCTAACTAACATGACTACAACTTGACTATTATAGATGACTATCTATTAACCTATATTTCTTAATTATACATTACATTTTTAAATGAGCTGCACAAACACAATACCTTAATCAAGAGCAGAAATATACATATAACAAAATTAACCTTAAATTTGTATCAATAAACAAGATCCATACCAATGCAAATCTCTATAGCATATCCCTCTCTAAATGTAAACAGACATTTATAAACAATATTTGGGAATATGGGTGTAGTTTTCTCCAAACTGCTTTTTTTATCTGAATCTGTCTTTATTGTGTATCTGTAATTATTTTCTGACCAGAAGTGCTTCTTAAGATGCTAAACACTTCTTAAAAACTTAAGCTGCACCATTACCCAAGTAATGCCTGCCTGCTTGTTCTGCCCAGTCCAACATGGCAGAGGAGGTCTGTTCACCTGAGCTGCACATACCACCCCAGTTACAAGTATGCAGTGGGTCTATGTCAAGCCATTAAGCAGTTTGTAACACGCTGTTTACAACCCCCATTTAAATGCTCAGCCTCCTGAAAAAGCCAGAGTTTATGCTCGCAGCATGGCCCAGAAAGCCAGCATTTCAAAATGGTGCATCTTTTTTTTTTCCTGCTACTACTTAATCAGGAAAACCTCTCTTAAAGGAGCCATGCCTCTGCTTGCTTCTAACAAACAGAGCCCAGTGAAGAAAATGCTGCTACCAAACCATGCTTAACTCTGTTCTTTTGTGTCTAAAATTCTTTTTTAAGCTTTCTCAGGTTTTACAGGGATTTAGTCCACCACATTGGCATGCCAATTTGTTGGAAGGAAGGCTGCTTGTTTTCCTGGCTGCCCAGTAGCTTAGACCCAAAACAATCACACAGAAACTGTACTAATTAAATCACTGCTTGGTCCATTAGCTCTAGCTTCTCGTTGGCTGACTCTTACATCTTAATTTAATCCATTTCTATTAACCATGTGACTATGGCTTACCAGCTACAGTTCCATGTGGCTGTGGATTACCAGCTAAAGCTCCATCTGCCTCTGGTGGGGCTCCTTGGCTTCTCCTTAACCCCACCTTCTTTCTCCCAGCATTCAGCTTAGTTTTCCCCACTTAGCTCTGTTCCCCTATAGCTCTGCTATAGGCCCAAAGCAGTTCCTTTATTTATCAATGGTAATCACAGCAGACAGAGGGAAATCCCACATCATTGCTGGCAGCATCCTCAGGTGCATTATGTGACATAATTTGTACAGCCTGCCATCCTACTGGGAAACATCTGCTTCTTTCTGGTTAAGGGGCCTTTGGAACCAAAATGTCTTGAATGTGTCCTGAATTTCTCTTGGGGAAATACATATGGGTGAAAGTTTATGTATCTCATTATGGTTGCTCCATTAACCCTTTCAGACACTGCCCAGCTGGTTCCCATGAAGCTGCATCGCCTATAGTCTCACCAAAAGCACAGGAGCCCTCAATCCTCTCTCATCTTTAACAAAGCATGTGATAGTCAATTTTTTGTTGCTGTTGTTCTAGTCATTCAGATGGATATTAAATGTTTGGAAAATCTGAGAGGCAATTGTTAAATGTTAACATCTGTTAGAAATGAAATTATGTAAACAAGCTGGACATGGCAACACCTGCTTATCATTCCAGCACTTAGGAGGTGGCGGCTTGAGGATCGGGAGTTCAGAGTCAGCCTCGGCTACATAGGGAGTATAAGAACAGCATGGGACACATGAGACCTGCCTCCAGAAAATAAAAATAAATAAGTAATATAAATGAAAAATTAAGCAAGTTATTTGAAAACTAAAGGAGATACCCAAAATCTATCACATCTTAACTGGTCACATTTTACTGTTACTGTGTATTGATGTGCATCTAGCAGAGCACAGTGAAAATCAATGCCATAGTGTGAAACCACAAATCTCTTCCTGGACAGTCTTGTGCATACTCTGTCCTCCTCCTATTGGCCACAGCGAAAGAACTACTCCCATAGAGGTTGATGGGCCAGGGCATGGTAGTGCTCAATTTATTTTTACTTTGTTGACTGCCATGCCTTGAGAAAATAATAGGGAACATGTTAATACTGCAGATTAAATCAGAGTGCTGCCTCTGTGGCCATAACATAGTGAGTAGTATGAACATGTGAAGTGCTAAGTATATCTCTGCTGCTTTATTTTTAACTTACTCATTAAGAGAAAGGAAACTGAGCCAGCACGCATATGGGTGGAACACACACACACACACACACACACACAAACGAGTGCATTTACTTTCCTGGAAAGCCACTTGGCATGAATTCATCAGCATATTATTGTCTCAGCTTGTCTGTGCTAAATGGAAAGGCACTTAGTGCTTAGCCTGACCAGTCTGAGTGGGCATGAAAGACTTGAGTGGGCATGAAAGACTTGGGGACAATATTCAAGACCAGACTACCAGGAGGCCAAGGGCGCTTGGATGGCTGAGGCAGAAACCTCAACCTCAGGGAGGAAAAAACACAAAACAAGACCACTGTGGAGGTGTCATAAGGCACAGATATTCTGGAATTGAGTCTTTCTGACCTGTAGCAGGGACAGCATTCTAAGGGCACCACTTTCTGGTATAGGCTGTCCACTTGAGCCTGGCCAGAAGGTAATCCAGCCTGAGAAATACAACAAACACACAAATCAGATTTTGCCTCTCTTCTAGACACAACCCTCTGTTACCTCCACTGTCCTCTGTCTCAGCCAGGTCAAGAGACTCTTCTGCTACAGCTGTCACCAGTACTCTGGTTTCACCATCCTGCCCCCCCCCCACACACACAAAGCCTCTCTAGTCATTTTGACCTACTTAGGGTTCCCAAACGGGCCAGGCTGGCTAGGACAAAGCTGGAGGCTTTGGTCATAGGAGTCACTCTGGGGTGTGGCCACCCCACCCCTTCTTACTTGCCCCAGCATTTGGTGACACAGCTCCACCTAGTCTGACTTCCCACAAGACAGGAATGCCTGAGGGTTGGGCCCCAAAGGCAGCTTACCAGAAACCTGCAGTCCAGCTGAGGCAGCTGGTGAGAAGGTGCGCACCCAAATCACTCCATGAAGGATTTGAGAGCTGGGATGAGTTCCATTCTGGGAGGTACCTTATGTACCAATCCGTATCTCTCCTCTGTGCCTCAGGAAAGTTCAGCACCCTAGCCCGCCTGGGTGACCCCTCCTCCTGTGGCATCCATGTACCGTGTCCACAAACATAGAGATAGCTGTTTTACCCTGTGCCCTATATCAATTCACTGATGCTACTTTGCAAGCAGGGACAGAGGGGGACAAGGCTTTGAAGAAGGCATGAACTAGCTCTGCAGACTCAGACTCCTTCCAGTCCACTCCCCAGAGGATTCAGCCTGCTCATCCCGAGGGCCTAGCAGAAAGAGGCAACACTCAAGGGGACCATGAAACACACCAGAGAGACAGCCAAGGGCTAGGGTCCAGCACCCCAACCTAACATACACCCCTTGGAAAAACCTGCATACTGACATCTTCCCCTCTGTACATTCAGAGTCAGGCCAGCATGGCCCCTATCTGTGCCTTGGTGTGATGGTTTTGGGTGTGGGCAGAGAGAAATCTGGCCAGTAAGACAGCTGGTAAATAGTTGCTGATATTTATTGAGAAATGGGAGGAAAGGCAGAAGCCCTGAAGGAGCAACCTGCAGGAGCCCAGGCTGGCCAGGGGTGTCCAGCTGGATGTAGGGCACAAAGAGGGCTCTGGGATCCTATGGCCAGTTAGGCCTGGCTGAGGAAGGCCAGGTAGGCACTACAGAGAGCGAGAACATGTCTCAGGCCTCAAAGTTTGGACCATCAGATGGCACATACATGGGCTCAATGTGAGCCCAGCTGCGGGCCTGCTCATCGGCCCAGGTGAGCAGCTCAGCAGCCCGATGCAGGAAGATCAGAAGCAGTGTGTGCACATCACCCTCTGCTGAATGGGCAGCACTGGGCTCAGCCTGGAAGTAGCGGTGGAAGAGACTAGCCAGGCTGTAGCTCTTGCGGCCTTGAGCCCTGGTGCCATGACTGTGAGCACGGTCCAGGCCCCTCAGCGCAGGCAGTGTGTCCAGGCAGACAGTGTCTTGGGGCAGATGAGCACCCAGGCGTTGTAGCTCTGTGCAAAGTAGTGGGAAGTCATAATCAAAGCCATTGTGGGCCACGAGGCAGATGGGGCCTTCCTGGCGGCTCAGGAAGCCCTGCAGTGTCCGCACCACATCGGTATTGAAAGCTGCCTTTCGGCAGTGCATCAGGCCTTCGCTGCTCAAACCAGTAATCTCACTGGCCTTGGCAGTAAAGGGGCGCTCCGGGCACATGCACAGTGTGAGCTTGTCCAGCACACGGGGCAGCACCAGAGCACCAGAATCGTCCCGCTCTGGGTTCTCCAGGCAAGAGCGGTGAACAGCAAAAAGGGATATCTCCGCAATCTCAGGATCCATGTTTGGGAGCCCAGTGGCTTCCAGGTCCAGGAATACAAAGGTCTCAGCCCGGGGCGGCTCAGACATGCTGACGTTCTCACAGGAACAGTGAGGCCTAAAGCACCAGAACAAGTGGCATAAACCAGAGGGCTAAAGAAATGGGAGCAAGGCCCTTTTGCCCGCAGCCCCTCAGGTCAAAGCTCTATCACTCAGGGCCTCACTTCCTATGGCTCCACCCCACCTCATGAGACCTTTGGTGCTAGGCAAAGTTTCTAAGACTCATATCCAGGGACACCATGGGGCTGAGATCAAGTGACCAGGATCTGTTACTGCTGTCCATCCCTCCTCCTCCTTTCCCCAGGTCTCTTTGCAGCTAATCTTAGTTCTGCCACCTAACCAGACACAAAAGGCCTGCTGTGCCCAGGCCCCTCTCCCTTTTGCTGCGAGGCCCAGACCTAGTCACTGTCTCCAGCAAGGAGGGAGGCAGATGTAATCCACAAATGGTGCCTTGGCCCAGCTTCTTGGTAGACACCTTGGCTGGGAGCCTCAGGCATTATGCCCTGCTTTCTACCTTTGGGTAGCAGACACCAGAGGAATCTTACATTAAGACCCTAATTTCCCCATTTTTCTACCAAACAAGTGCTGTCTTAGGTTGGCTTCTACCTGCCTCCTGGCTCATGACACTGTCCACCCATCCCCACCACACTGGCTTACCTGGGGCAGGCTTCAGCTGGCTTCCTGGGCTGCTGGGCACCTGTCTCTGCACAGGCTGCTCCAGGCAGCCTTTAATCAGAGGCCACAGCCCGCCCCTAGCTACCAGTTGGGCAACCAGGAGGCCTGAGGCCGCAGGACCTGTGCAGCCGGCTTGCTTACCGCCCCCTCGTGAGCTTGCAGCCACCAGGACACACGCCCCATGTTTACAGACTGGGAAGCAGGGCTCTGGCCGCACGCAGGTTCCAGTGAGTGATGAGTACTGTCATGGACCAAGAGGAATGTGTCCTCACAGGCAGGAGGAAGTCAGAGTGTCAAGGAAGCCTGTCTTCCACCAAGCCCTACCTCAAAGTCTCATAGGGTCTGGGTTGTGGTTGCCAGATCTGGATAAACCAGGTGTGGTGCTTCCTTAGCCCTATGCTGGGACACATTACACACAGACAGCTGATCCTCTTCTCCAGGTCTTGGTTTCCTCCATCAGTGAGGATATGGACGTCCTTCATGAGATTACCATAATCTCAGGAGTGACAGGGGTATCTACTTGGGTTATGTTTAGTCTGTGAATGGGAAATCATGCTGAGAACAGGACCTTAGTCTTACTTTAGTAAACAGCGGGTGACCTCAGGAACATCTCCAATATACAACTGTCTGGTTGCAGATCACCCCTACCTTGTGGCCCCACTTTCTAGCAGCAAGCAGGAAGGTGATCTCTGCTTTTGGGTTTGACACTCAGGGGTTTGACACCTAATGTTGTTACAAGCATTTATTTAGTAGAGTTTTGGAGAAGGCAGGGAGGATAGGCAGTCAAAGGAAAGCCATGAGGTAATGAGGCCTGACCCAAACAGCCCTGAGCCGATTTTTTCCATTTCAGAAGTGGAAAGAGGCAGTCTGGACACCTCTAAGACTGTAGAGCAGTGCTTCTCAACCTTCCTGATGCTGTGACCCTTTAATACAGTTGTGGTAACCCCAACCTTAAAATTGTTTTCATTGCTACTGCATAACTCTAATTTTGCTACTGTTATGAATCATAATGGAAATATCTGATATGGACGATATCTGATATGCAACCCCTGTGAAAATGTCATTCGACCCCCGAGAAGGTCATAACCCACAGATTAGGAAATGCTCCTCTAAGGCCTTTCTTTCCTGCCTCACCTGACTTCAGGTGAAGGACACCATCAAGACGTGAGAGTAGCTAGAAGGCTAGACCATTCATGGCCTCTCCTGAAGATTTTATTCCAGAGCTAGGTATCCAGCACTGTGGGCCTGGCCTCCCAAGGTTGTGTAGTCAATGCTGTACCTGCCCACTGCAGGCACTCCTGAGTCTGTCATAGAGAACAAGGACTTGCTTACCCATCAGTGTCTGAGCAGAAAGGGCCTAGCACCCAGCTGTCCAAAACTATCCAGGGAGCCTGGGGGAGCAAAGGTGCAGTTACAGGAGCAGGGTGGGGCAGGCCGCCACAGGTGTGATAATGGGCCTCACTAAGTCATTCCTGTTCCGGTGCTCGAAGGGAGGGAGGTGGTTGTGACAAGTATACTACTCAAAAAGATACTGGGTCACTGTTTCCTGGACAGCCAGGGGATCATAGGGAGAATTCCCTAGTGCCTTAGGAAAGAAGGAAGAAATAGCCTGGCTGCCAAGGACATGGCAAAGAGGGCATCTGCAGGACCCTGAGGCAGGAAAGGCGGTGAAGGGCACAGAGGCAGGAAGAGGTGTCATCACAAGGTGCAGTGCAGACCTCCAGGGCTAGGCATGGTCACCCTAACCAGGCAGTATCAGAAAGGAATGGAAGCAGCAGAGAGAAAAAGCCAAGGCCCACTGGGGAAGTAGAAGGGTGCCATCTGGCTAACCTAGAATAGCAGGGACGAGGACAAGAAGAGAGGCTGAGCATCCCAGGCCAGAGGGGAAGAGTATGATAAGCAGAAACAAACAGTAGTCTGGAGGCAACTTCTCAGAACATAAGGTTTCTTTTATTTCTAGCTCCCCTGTCCTACCCATCTCTGCCTGCCTTCTCCACCTCCCTCTTCCTTTTTTTCCTCCAATTGCAGATACCAAGCAAGTGGAAATTCATGTAGGCCATGAACAGAACTGGAACTGCCCGCCCCCCCCCTCCGCAACAGCTCCAGGAAGGGCCTTCTCCCCCACATTATCTTGTGTCTCTGTGCAGTCTGTCAGTGAGGATCTTGTACTTCTGGGTTACTTCATCAATCCTTGCGGCTATACAGAAAAAGAAACACAAACAACAAAGTCAGTTCAGCGCTTGCAAGCTTGAAAGAGGCAGAAGCTGCCAGTCCATACAAGACTCCCTTGTCTTCCTACCAGAGCCCCGTCCTCCCTATTCTGCTCAGGCTGTCATTGGGCATGACCAGGTGGTAAGGGGACCACTCCCACCTGGTCCTCAAAGGGCTTGGAACTTGGGGGTGCAACATCTACCATGACCCAGAAACACTGATCAGGGAGCTGCTTTGGGAGCCCCTTTGACTGGTGGTAGGCCAGTAGCTCAGGGGTCTCTGGTTGAATCACACTGACCAGACAGTGTCAAAGCTCAGACCAAGATGGGTGTCTGCCACCTCAAAGGCCAGGAGTTACTCTGGTTTTGATGGTGAGTGGTTTTAATCAGATACCAATATGTGCACACAGTAACAAAGCCAGCAACACAGAACTGCTCTAAGGCTTTTACAGCAGTGCTCTCCACCTTCCCAATGCTGTGATCCTTTAATACAGTTCCTCGTGTCGTGCTGACCCCAACTATAAAATTATTTCATTGCTAATTCCTAACCGTAATTTTGTATTGTTATGAATCGTAATGTAAATATCTGATATGCAGGATATCTGATATGAGATCCCCAAAGGGATCACCACCCACAGGTTAAGAACTACTGCTTTAGAGGAAGGACATTCTCGAAAGTAGTTGCTACAGCCCAAGCTGCCCCGATTTGATGGACACATCCTGTAAAAGCATCCACCTCCAGGGCCCTAACCAGACAATTACTGAATACCAATGAGGGATTTCTGCCCAATTGTAAGTTCTTTGCTTGTTTGTTTTTTTAACATATATTTCTGTTTTAAAGATTAGTTTATGTGTATGAATGTTTTAACTGTATGTTTCTACGTACACCGTGTGCATGCCTTGTGCCTGTGGAGACAAGAGGGTGTTGGCTTCCCTGGAACTGGAGTAAAAGATGGTTGTGAACTGCCACGGAATGGTGGGAACTGAACCCAGATACTCTTAACTGCTGAGCCATCTTTTTGGCCCCATGTATTTCTTTTATGTATGTGTATGCACATACAAGAACATACATGTCCTTAGCACACATGTGGAAGTCAAAGGACAACTTTCAAGAGTTACTTCTCTCCTTCTGCCTTGTAGATTCTGGGTATCAAATCCAGGTTGTCAGGCTTCGCAGCAGGTACCTTTACCCAATGGGCAATCTCACTCTACTCCTTTTGTTCTTATTCTGTGTTTTACCAGGCTGACCAGGAACTTGACTTTCCAGCCAGAATGATCACAGGTCACAGGTATGCCAGGCTGGGTATTCCCAATGCAAATGCAGAGCTCTCCCAGGTAAGTGGAAGGTAGTTTCTCATAGAGGCTAAAACCTATAATTGGTGAGGTAGAAAATGAGCAGGCAAAGGTTCAAGTGGCTCTGTAGTAGATTTGGCACTGCTCCTTTTACCCAGGAATGCCTACTGCCCAAGAATTTGTCTCAAGGCACATCAGAAATCTGCACTAACAAGAACTGAGCCGGGAGCCCACCATCTCCACATCCCTGAGGCCACTAGGAACCAAAGCATGGGGTGGGGGTGCCTAACTCATACTGCCAAGCTGGCTACCACTGCTAGTATGCCCTACTCACCAGTGAGTGGGCACAATGTTAAGACTATTAATGATCCTTATTGTAGTAATGACAGCATAGATTATGAACAATTTACTAATAGTAATTATGTGGACTATAGTGAGAGCAACAGTGACACTGGTAATTGGGGTAAATACTATAATAAATTTTAAGATGGAGGATCCTCTTATAGCTCAATAAGTAAGAAAAGACTCTCAAGTGTCTAATATACATTTGGCAGGTATGTGCCAGGGCAGAACATAGAAAGAAGGCCAGCAGTCAGAGAAAATCCCAATAAGGACCTGGTTGGTTATACAGCTACTGGAGAGGATGAGGGAAGAGTATCACAAGTTCAAGGCGAACCTGGGCAACTTAGTGAGACCCTTTCTCTAGTACTGGGGAAAAACGTCCCCAAAGGAGACAGCACAAAGCCTATGATCTAAGACCAATACTTGGGGGAAAATCAGTGAAAACAGCTATAGTCAAGTGCTTTACTTTCTGCTCACTAAAACAGTTGGGGGAAATAATACACTAAATCA